TCCAATTAAGGTCTCACTCATCAGTTCTTGGGGAAAACACTATTCAACCCAGAACAACTTGGTACATATTACTCAATAAATGTTATTCCTTTGCTGTTCGTGATATATTCTGACTAATTTCCAAGCTAATTGACTGCTTTCCCTCCACAACAGTCATAAGAAGTTTGTTGTTCTACCTTTCTGTACCCCCATACCTGTTGTCCCCTACTTAGAAATATCTTCTCTCTTCTCAATCCATGACTCTTCTTAAGTTCCTCCTGAAGATGCTCAACAGAGTAGCCCATTCATGGCACTTCTGTTTTTTTATTTCCTAATTCTTCACAACACTGGGACTTCACACACCACATGGACAACTGGGCTAGAACACCTTCCTCTGATTTGACTTGTGGGTAAGACACAAACATTTAGTGCATTCTCAATATGAACAGAGATACTGTCTAGCAAAGAGCGCCAAAGCTACGGCAATTGTCCACTGCTCTCTTCCCCCTGTGTTTCAGTGGTCATCCTTAGGTATTTTGCCATTTTAAATAATACTTGCCTTTGTCTAGTGCTATCAAGAAGCCACAAATGTTAATGGAAATCCCTACCTACTACCAACAGCCAGTATCAATAATGGATGGATTGCCAGGTAAAATGCAAGACTCTCCATTAAGTTTGAATTTCAGATAAACAATGGATAATTTTTCATGTAAGTATACTCTGTGTGATATTTGGACATATTTATACTTAAAAAATTATCCATTGTGTATCTGAAATTCAAAATTATCTGGGCATTATGTATTTTTATTTGCTAAATCTAGCAACCCTAAATAATAATCCATTGGCTACTTAGGGGTGCAAAGGACTTCACTAACTGTACTACATAATATTTACCTCCCTTACCCTGCTATCAGTACCTTAGAAATGTCAGCTTTTAAGGCCAGCTATTAGCAACTAACACTTTGCAATTTTTTTCCTTCTGCATCTGAGGAGAATTCTCTAAGAATTCTGGCAGTATAGTCTATACATGTTGCTAGTACTATCATCACACTGCCAACACTCAATAGCCATGTGGCTTTAAGAAAGTCATTTAACCTGTCTCTCTCAGCCTCAGTCTACTCATCTGTAAAGCAGGAATAATTAGGGTTGCTATGAAGATTAAAGTAAATAGTCCTTGTAAAAGCACAGTACTTTGCATATAACAATCACCTAATATATTTCCATAGCTTATAACTATCATTACCCTTTGGGACTTATTGCATGAATTGTGGGGAGTGCGTCTGCCCTGGACCTCAGATTCTCAACGGCACCAAATGTAGTCTTTTGTTATGCTCTCCAGATGAAATTATACCATGATAGCTGGCCTCATCAAGATACCCTGACAAGGCTGAAAAAAGATGCTCACTGTGTAGCTTTAAACCTGTGTGCCCCACACTCTATGGATGTTATTTTTATAAATCCTTTCTTGATGGAAACAAATGAATGAGAAAAAAAAAATCCTGTGGTTATCAAGTGAATGGCATATATCCATTGCATCACAGTTTTATAATGCTATTCTGGGCCTTTCTTATTTTTTAAAATACTGAGCACATGAAAAATACAGATAATTCAGGGCCTGTGCTGACCTCTGATGACAAATCTGTGAATCCACTGCCAAGGGTGATGAGCAGGGACCCTCTGCAGCCCAGGGCTTCCAGCCAGTGGACACACAGGTGTGCCTTAGATGGGTCACAGGTGAGGCCTCAGGAAGATAGGATGGGACCAGAGTCCAAGTCTCAGCCATAAACAGCTCATCTATCTCCTGCAAAGTGCCCTACAAATATTATCATTTTACATTTGTGCCATGACATGAAAAATGTTGGGAAGCACTGTTCTAGACTCTAGGGGAAGCTCACAGCTTTGCCACCTTGATGCCCCAAATCTACCCTTGAGGAGGAAGAGGAGCTCTGAAACGGATCAATGCCAAGTTGAGTCCTTAGAGACACACAATTATGGGGCCCTCAATTAAGGGTAGAGCCTTTAATGAATGGGAGGAGTAAAGGGAGAGTAAATAAAACCAAATTGGAGAAAACTCTTCTTGGAGTGTTTCTCTTTTACCCTCCTTGCTGTGTTTTCTTGTGTAAGATTCCACTAGCTGTGTGTCTGACGGGAATATCTTACTGTTTCTGATCCTAGATTGAAGGCTAGAGGGAGAGAAGAATAGAATGAGGGCTTGGGTAATTTCTGCTTTGTCCTTTGGAGGGGGGGGTTTTCTCTAATATACTCATTTCTTCCCATAATTGTGAGTGAGGTAAGATCCAGGCAGCCCAGGCCAGGAGGTCTGTGGGTACTGTGGGTGGTGGGCATTTACTGTCTCTGAGACAATGGCAAGGCATGTCAATATCATGCTGTCAGGTGCAGTGAGAAAAGCAGAGGTTTAGAACTTGAACAATCCTTGGGATGAAACCCAATACAGAAAATGGTTTGGTAACTTGGGCAAGTCATTTTCTCACATGTGAAGTGGAAATCATAATATCTTCCTGGCTGAGATGTTGGGGGGATTTAAGGAGTCAAAGTAAAGAAGAAAAAGCTGGCATCATCCTGCCTGACACATAGAGGAACTTAGTAAGTGTTAGTTTCCTGCCATGCTTCTCCCTATTTCCCCACTTTTCTTGAAGAATCCTAAAGAAACACATTTCCACAGACACACTGTCTAGGGAGGCACCTTGCCCCTTGGATCCACCGTCCAATTAGGTTTCATATGTAGCCACCTCATTGCCCACTCCCTCATCCCACCCTGACTCTCCTGAATGTCTAATGACTACATCATCATCATGCTGTGAAGGTTCCCAACTACATCAGCCATTCAGTCATTAGCACTTAATGTCTGCTCTTAAAAATTCCATTTGTTGAAGAGAAACTTTTTTCATCTTTTCAAATATTTTTTAACATATTTCAACAAAATAGGACCCTTCTGAATGAAGTTCCTCACTCTCTCATAATACTTCCTGGGCTTGAGTCATCCAGTAATTACATTGCCCATGCCCCAAGCCAAGCTAATCTCCCAAGACCACAGACCCAATCAGGCCTCTCTCCTCCTCAGACACTCTGCAGCTCTCCAAGTCCCTTGGCCTGCCAATCAATGACCTCCATGATTCTGCTCAAGCAAATCTTGCAGCTGTAGTCACTCTTGCACTGGCATTCCAACTTCAGCTAAAATGAAAATGAATGCTGCACATGACCCTCACTTTCTTCTGTCATTCCGTGCCTGGAATGCCCTTCCTCATTTCCACATGCACAACATCCCCTCAGAAATATGTTCTCCCCAACAGCTCATGTTGATGTGTTCTCTTCTCTGAACTCCCAGAGCAATTAATTATCTGTCTTGAATGATAGATATTTAAATAATAATAATAAAAACAACCATCTCAACCTCTTATGGAGCCCTCACACACCCACTGTCTCCTAGTATTTACATCTATGTGATTACATAAACTAGATTATGATCTCTTTTTATTTCTTATTTCTCTCTATGCTCTCCAGAGCATCTGACCCACTGCTTTGCACATAGAACCAGACACAATAAAAATTAAAAGAAGAAATGAATGAAGAGGTCTCAAGAGGGATACTGTCTTGGGGAATCAGATGCTGTCAAGAAGACAGATTCATGACTTTGACTTCAAGTCTTCTCTTACCCTCTTTAAAAGATACTGATCTGATATTTTTAATGCTATGTACTTGTTTCACACGTATTTCATGTCCTCACACTATGTGCAAACTAAGTGCCTTGATAGCGTAACAGAAACAATGGCCACAGAAACATCCTTTTCGTCAACTAAAGGGACTTGAGACATGATCATAAACATATATTGATAGCACAGCCTCAGATGGATGACCTGAGGCAAGAGATAAAAACGAATGCTCCAGAAGTTTAAAAAAGGTCCAAATCTTGTAATTATGAGAGCTATACCCAGACCAGTTGAGCTGGAGTCTACAGGAGCTAAAGAGATTCAAGGATCAGTGAGTCCAAGTCAGTGAACTCTGTCAAAGTTATGAATATGGAAACCAAGAACCCGTTGCCCTATACCTTGCCATGCAGTGATACATTCAGAGATTACCAGGTCCGGAACTGCAGAGGAGAGAGGGCCTTTAATATAACTCATTGGCTATGGGCCTTGGTTTCCTCAACTATAAAATGGAAATCACATTAGCTCCTTCATAGGGTTGATATGAGATTGAAATGGAATGATATTTGTCAAAAGTCTTCTGTTATCTTAGGGACATTGCATATGCCAAGAATGGTAGCTAGCATATTTATTATTGCAGTATTTCCTCAACTTTAAGATGCCATGAGTTGGAAGGCACATATTTGATTTAAAAACATCTTTTAAAGGGAGTAAAAGGAGGAAAAAAAATATGTTAAATCTACACATAGACTATAAGAAGGATGCTGATTACAGATATCTTCAACTGCTAAAAAGATATTTCCTAGAACTGAGGAAATATGGTAGGTAGTAAATAGTATGCCTCAAGAATCTGTTGATTCTGTTTAATTTCTTTGAGGTTTAAATGCAAACCAAGTCTTTATAAGTCAGAGACCTCAGGATATTCGTGTCTGCCAAAGAAAGGTCCTGTAGCCCAGACCCCGAAGGGTGGAGCAAGGACCCTGAGAGCACACACACGCAGATACCAGATATGGAAACCCAGGAACAAATCACCCTTCACAGTAAACTCGCTCATTGTCTGAGCAGAATCGTGTTCTTTTAAAAATAAAACTGTGAGTGGGAGTGCTTGCATTCTGGAATAGAGTCTTTTTTTCTTCCCTTCATCCCATGTTCCTTGGCTACATGCTATTATGTGATATTCAGGACTGTCAAACCTTCTGGAGCCATAAGCATTTTTCAGACAACCAATCTCAATATGCATTATCAAAATTAGATCTTTCTGTGCAGATGACAATTATGTATTATATGGTTACACGCTTATGAGTCTGTGACACCGTATTGTTAGACTTGGGGTATTGACTTTTAACAATATGTTACCTTATTGTATTTGTTGTCGCATTATGCCTGGATTGCAGCATTTGTCTCGTGGCCCCACTCACGCTGCAATTAGTTCCTCAGTAAGTGTCAAACAGCACTGGGGGAAAGAGTGGGTGAAAGGTAACTTGGAGATGATTTTCTTTTACAACTGTCATTTATAAAAGAACTTCAACCGTTCCAGAAAAATACAAGTTGTATTCTCATCAATAAAATTGCTTCTAAACAGAATGACAACTCCAGTTGGGAGTTTGAATATTCCAAAGGTCTTGGATACCACCCCATGGTCACAAAAGAACAGGCTGCAGGGCGGGGAGTGAGAGAAGGAATAGGACATAAGAAATCCCCATATTCATTTCTATAAACACAAGCTCAATGCAGTTTAAACTCATAAACATGCTAAAAGGAGCTAGAGGTAGCCTGTTACTTTGTCATATATTTTTATAGGCCTATCTGAATGGTTTCAGATTTGACATAGTAACTGCCTGTTACTAGAAATAAACTGTAAGTCAATTCCATGCTGCCATAATTCACTGCCCAGGGTTGTTCAAAAAGATTTAGTGATGCCCATGATGGACAGCAAACCCTGTGATGTTTTCATTTTCACTTGGTGTTTTGTCATGCCTCCAGCCTGCTGACCTCTAGAGACCCAGAAGGAGCAGACCTTCCCAAGGTGTCACTGTGTCTGCCAAGTCAGTAAGAGACTCGTTGTTGCAAGAAAGCAAATGAGACATTCTTTCCATGTCTCTAGGTCTGTCTGCCTTCCTCTTTATTTCGAGAGCTTGACAATCATCATTCCTATAAAAGTGACCTCTTTCTGAATAAATGGAACCAAGGTTACACATACCACCCCGCAGGAATGAGGTGCCTGGAAAGTAGCAATACCTCATCTCCTTGGCTGGCATTTTCTTTTGGCTCAAGGCTTTGGCTACATCTCTACCATGTCACGCACCCAGATGGAAAGTGAAAAATCCATTCAGCCATCTGGCTGTTTCTGTCTACACAATGCCATGCATCTGGAGCCATCTGGGAGATGGACTGAATTTTTTCACTTTCTGCCTGGTTGTTTGGTATGGTGTAGGTGCAGTCTTTTACTAAGCTGAAGTGCCTCATAACCCTCTGCCCCATGTGAAAGGCTGAAAAAACATGAGAAGGCTCCAGGGTAACGTGGCCTATTGTGTTATTCTGGAAAATAAATGGAAACTTTGTGAATTACAGTATAATATAAGCTGCAGGAAATAATAAGAGTAAGACTATTGCTTATCAAACAAAACAAACACAAGAAATGAGTCAAGTAATTATTTCTCAACTTAGTTTGTCCCAGACAGCTAACACAATATTCTCAAGGGCATATTATTACAATTCCTTCCTGGGGCTGGATAGTAGTCTAAAAGACATCTCAAATGGACGCTTGTGCTTAGAATTATGGTTGAACTAAAAAATGTATAACCACCATTTGACCCAGTAATCCCAATACTGCGTATATACCCAAAGGATTATAAATCATTCTACTATAAAGACACATGCACACGTATGTTTATTGCAGCACTATTCATAATAGCAAAGACTTGGAACCAACTCAAATGCCCATCAGCGATAGACTAAATAAAGAAAATGTGGCACATATACACCATGGAATACTATGCAGCCATAAAAAGGGTAAGTTCATGTCCTTTGCAGGAACATGGATGAAGCTGGAAAACATCATTCTCAGCAAACTAACATAAGAACAGAAAACCAAACACCACATGTTCTCACTCATAAGTGAGAGTTGAACAAGTAGAACACATGGACACAAGGAAGGGAACATCACACACCAGGGCCTGTCAGGGGGTTGGGGGCTGGGGGAGGGATAGCATTAGGAGAAATACCTAATGTAGATGATGGGTTGATGGGTGCAGCAAACCACCATGGCAAGTGTGTACCTATGTAACAAACCTACACATTCTGCACTTGTATCCCATAACTTAAAGTATAATAACAAAAAAAAAAAAAGTATGACTTCTAGGCCCTAATTAGTGTCTCCAAAAGGAGACTCTCTCTGTTCCTCAGAGTTCATTCTAAAACAAATAATAGAGAAATTTATGAAACACTTCCCAAGAATCATGTTCAACTTAACAGAATTTCCATTTGAATTCCAGAAGCTCAGTATATTTAGCAAGATTAAGAGCTTAATAGTATGAGGTGGAGGGGTGGGTATAAGGGAAGTATAAATTGTGGGAAAATGTAAATAGTGATTGTGCAAATGAGGGCTTCCCTGGTATTGTAATTAAACCTCTTGGAATTCTGGGGTATTTTCTCTTCCTCTAACTCCTTTCTGAAGCTTATCTCTGGCAGAGTCTGGCAGCTTTCCCTTCACTTCAATCTCGGCAGACAGTAATGTTCAACTCAGTTTCTGGAGTTTTCATTCCACATACTGTTGGGCAAAATATAAAAATGATTAAATAACAGAAATAGATATGTAAAAACCATGATTAAAACATCTGGCCAAGGGAAGGGGGATAGAGGATGGGCTAGGTCAGCAGGCACCCCAGGACTTGAGACCAACCTTTACCCTGAAGATAGCTTTAGCTTTGTCTGAGAAAGGATGGAGGGCATTTAGGGCCCAGAGGCAAAAAGAAAAGTAAATTTATGAAGAGTGAGCTTAGGGGATAAAAACAAAATCCTTGCTGCTTCTATTTCAGCATTATGAGCAAGAATCCCCCTGCACACATTTAAATGGCATGTTCACATTTTATGAATCAGGCCCTTAGTTTTAATTGCTTCTTGTACTATGGGCCAATTAAGGATGGGTCTGGAGGGCAGGGATCATTCCCACAGCCTCTGAGGTTCTGAGAGGTGGGGCTTGCTTAGCCTGAGGCACCCATTCACACTTGTATTAAAAAAAAAAAAAAGAAAAGAAAAGAAAAAAAAGGAAAAGAAAGACCAAGTGCACCATTAAACACCTCTGATAGGAATGCTTACTTTATATAGGCTGAAAGCAAAAACTGGAGGCCAAAAGTTCCCCTTTGGCCCCATTGCTTGCTTTCAAATAAAATCAATTACAACGTTTCTCCTTGTCTGAGCCATGCAAAGCTAAATACCAATACATACAGACCCAGTAGTGTATCTTGAGAAGCTGCCAATAGGTTTGTAAGCCCTCTGAGATCTCCTGTCTTTTTATCTACAATTGATCCCCTGAACCTTTATGCAATAGTGGGGTTAAAGATCAAGAGGGTTTTTAAAAATATATATATATATATATGTAATACCGACTGCATAAGATACACATATTAATGGACTCCTAGTTTCTACATAGCAACTCCAATATTGTAAAGTACCAAAGTAAATGGAAAAACTTGAAACAAAAATAAAATCTGTTATTAAGCTATACATTATATCTTATATACCTTGACATATGTAGAGTATTTCCCCTGCTTTGTTTTCACATAAGAAACTTAAAATTTATAGAATGTATACAAATAATATATTTTTCAGTGATTTCCAAAGCTTTTAAAATAAGCTTTAGGTCTGATCACCAGATGACCTGCACCCCACATTTCAGAGCTGAACATGTCTAAATGTTAATTTTGAAGAGCCAGCGGGAAGCAGTGAGAGGGTCAAGCTAAACAGCACATGCACCTAGCAATAGCAAAGAGCATTTCTCGCTTATAGGTCACCAGTTCAAATCCCGCTGCAGTCAGCAGGACCCCAAAGCCAAGACCATTTAGTTGCTCAGGGATCTGCTGAATTGAGTTGCTATGAAAATCTGGTCACCATCACAGCTGGACATCTCATCAGAGCAAACAGATTGTTCAGAATTTACCCTATTCCCCCCAACTTTCTTTCCTTCCCTCACATTGTCCTTCCAATGGAGCCTTCCAAGAAACCCCAAGTGCCTGGACCTTGGGGCTCCAGAAATGTAGGCTGCCAACCTATACATTTCATATATAGATACACACACACACAAACACACAAACACACTCCCTCTGTCTACTGTCTGGATTATATATTCACAGTCCACACACACATACACAGTGTCCAGTCACTATCTGTAGTCCCAGGAGGTAAATCACCTTTCTCTGCTATTAATCCAGCACCTTTTACTAACACTAGATTTGCTTGTAATTTTTTCCCTCCAATATACACATCCACGCTACCTTGTAGATAACCAACTAATTGAACAATATAAAAATAATTTCCCAATTTATGATAAACATTACAATGACGCTTCCTCATTTCCCTAATGAAGAAAGGAAGCATCGAGATAAAAGTAAAACGAAATTTATTAGGTTTTGTTCCTGCACCACTGAAATAAAATAGTGAACCAGCTTGGCAGTTACTACAGGGACCCAGCATGTGCTCATTAACTCTTTGCCAGGTACAAAGGTGTCCTAACAGCTCTGTTTTAATTCCATGATCCGGCCCATAATCCAGTGCTAAACAATAATTAGTATTGACTTGTTAAACAGTAGTTGAAGCCCTCCTTTAAGCACCTCAAATATGCTTTAAGTTTCATAGACGAAGAACCAAAGGAAGGGGGAGGCATAATTGAGAGAAGAGAGAGAAGCATGAAGGTATTTATGGTTTTTTAACTGTAGAGAAAGAACTGTTCTCCTGCCTGGTAACTTTGCGAGTATTAACGCATTGTTTGCAGACCCACGCCGGCACTTTATTCACCCCATGCCTGCTCATTGTGTGAGAAAGTCTTTCCTTCCCTAATAGCTTGCCCCCACCCCACATTCCCTTTTACCTTGTTAGACTGACCAAATGTTGAACAATTTTCTCCCCTCTTCTAGTGCAGTTTAAATTCTTTCCTGAAAATGGCTCTTTTCATCCTATGCAGCAATGTTCATTTAAAATCATCAATGAATGAAGACCTCTGGCACTGTGGATTTTCCATGGTTTTATTTATTGTTCAATTGTGTATTTGGATACAAAAGAGGGGACACTGACCACATTTGCTGGGGAAATAATGAATGCACCCATATGGGCATAGGGAGCAATGGGCTACAACCCCTTGGATGCACTTGGTAAGGGCAGAGGTGCAAAGCTGGCTCACCAGCTCGCCTCACATGCTGCTCTCACTTTATCACCTGATTCTGCCATCTCTTCCTGGTGCACCACTAAAGGAAGAAAGAAAAGTACTAGGTGTGAGAGGTGTCTACATTTTATTGCCTCATAGCATTTCCACTGGTTACATTCTCTCTACACCTGAGTGGAGTCAGGGGTTCGGAATCCAGTTGCTGCTCCTCTGCTTGGATTGCTGGCCTTCCGTAACCCACCAGCATAGAAGTCATCCTCCTCAAGCTAATTGCAGATTGCTAGATTTGCAATCCTAAACCAAATCAAGTAGCAACCTACTGAAGGGTTCCTCCATCTATGCATCCATTTGTCCATCTAGCCAATCAGTCAAGTGCTTTTTGAGCATCTCCAAATATGTTTCAGAGCAAAATAAGAAACGGTCCCTGCCTTCAAGCAGTTTTGCAACCTGATCATGGAGAACAAACGGTGCACCAGGAAATCAAATAGCAGTTAAAGAGGGTAATTAATGAAGTACAAACAGTGAAAGCATAGAGGTTTAGAGAGAAGACATGTTAAAGAGAGCGGAGATGGTCAGGTCATGCTTCTGGAAGACGGGGGCTTGTGCTAGGCCTTGAAGAAAGAGTATTATTCTAAAGAGAAGAGGGGAGAAAGGGGATCACTCTGGAGACTGGAAGCAACACAAAGACTCAGGAGCCAGAATCAGATCTCTGTCTTTCCAGAACACAAGAAAAAATTAAGCACACTAGTAGAACACTTTAAATTTGCAAGATATATCCATGTTTCTTCTTTTTTTTTTTTATCTTCTCCCATAAAATCTGTGGGGTGGGCATGACAGGAAGATTCGACGTAAAACAGCAATAGATGATGGGAAACATGTATAAGGTCACTGTAATAACTCCTAAGAAAAGTAATGGGGGTTATTCTGGAGAGTTAAGAGCATTAAATGGATGAAAACAAAGTATAAGATGAAGGAGAAACAGGCAATAACTTTAGGAGGTGAGAACGGAGGAGAATGTAAGAATATTAGCAAATTCTTCCAGTGGGTGACAAGGACAAATGAATAGGAAGGAAGAGCAGGTTGAGGGAGAGTGGAAAGGATGTTTCTGTTCTGTATTGAGTAAACTTCAGGGGACTATGGAAAACCTAAGCAGAAATGGCCAGGAGACAGCTACCTGGAGACATCTGGTGCTCAAGGTCGAAGGCAGACTGGAAACAGATTGAGGAGTCATCAGTATAAATGCAGGGTCACAGGGATCCCCTATAAAAGGGGATATGGCCAAGCATTAAACCTGGGTCATTCCATTTAAGGGGTAGAAGAGAAAAGAAAGCTCATTTAATTAAGGCCCATTACATATAGAAGGCCCTTGTCAAAATGTAAGAATAACGTGTACAGGTTCATGGATCATAGATTGAAAATGAAATTGAAAAAGATGGGATTTTAGAGTTACTTCAGTCCTGCCTTTTCATTTTCCCAAGGAGGAAACTGATAGAGGAAAATAGTGACTGCACCATAATTTATTAATCCATTAGCATCTAACAATCTCCATGTTCATGTAGAATTATTTTATTAACTAGCTAAAGAACATAGAGCATAGCCTGTGAGGCAGGAACATAGGAGTTATACTTACTCCTGTTATTGGAGTTATACTTCCAATAAGGAAGTGGCTAGGTAGGAATGGGAAGGAAAGCCCCAAAGAAGTTCCAGATCATGGAATATTATTACCTAAGGAGGGCAGAACTGAAAGGGGATGTCCTCAGAGAAGGAACAGATCCTAGGGCATCCAGAGGACAGAATGGGGCAGGATGCCAGAGAAGTGATCATGAAAAGTGGAAGAGAGGCACAGAAAAGGATTGCCTGTTGTGCCATGGTAAAAAGTTTGAAGGTGAAGACTAGATACCCATTTAACACTTGCAGTCAGAGGGGTCTGGTTATTCTGACGGCCACGAGTTCAGAGATGTAAAATTTTACCAAGCTGAAAAGTTGAGTTGAGTCATGTTAAGAGCTGGGATTTGACATCAAATACACCTAAAATGAGTAGTGCAACCCCGGGCCAGTGGTGTAACCCCAGGCTCTTTGAGAAACCTCGATAACCTCGTGTATTAAATGTAAGTAATCTACCAACGTCACTGGGTTATTGAGAAGATAAATAAAAATGGATGAAGGGACCTGGCACAAAGCAGACTTTCAGTTCATATGAATATTCTCTTCCTAGGGAGCTTTCTTAAGAAGATATGCAACACACATACACACATACATACCTCATTCATATTTTCTAATACATTGTTTTAAAATTCTAGATTTAAAACAAAATTCACTACACAGACAGAAAAAGCCTGCAACAGATCTTTGTGCCAGACCTTGAATGGAATATTATTTGGTAGAAGCTATTCATGGCATAAATAGGGGATTCCACTGGATGCCACTAGTAACTGTGATGAAAGCAAACTGGGAGCTGGGTCAACAATAAATAAATAAATAAGCAAACGAAAAAATAAATACTACCTAGTCACCCTGAAGAAGAAGGTCTAAAGATTAAATGTTCAGACCAACCTCCTTTTATATGGGTGCAATTTTTGTACCTGCAATTAGCTCCCTCAGCCTTCAATCTAAGAATCAGCTGGTTAATTGTGCATGTAAGTGGCTAATAGCTCCAACTGGGGGATAGTGCAGGCCTAGAGGGTCACATACCTTCCTCCACACATGTTCTGCTGTTACACATTACAGGCAGACATATACATACACACATACAAAAAGGAGTAAAAATAAAAAGAAATTTATATGACTTGTAATACTTCAAGAGAAACAGCATGGGATAATTTACAGTGCATTCTCAAAAAAAAAAAAAAAAAAAGCAACCCTAAGAAATGTCATCGTTCTTGTGTCTCAGCCATAGTGGTTTAGAATTATCTGCAAATGTGGGATCAAATTGAGTCTGTAATTAAAAAGGAGACAAAATGATGATGTCAAGAATCCCTTTCAAAGAGCCACTGGATAGCTCAATGGTCTGGAGAGAGTCACTCCCACAATCTCAGAGAGAACAAGGGTGACCCGGTTTGGGTTGGGAGTGGAGGTGGGCAGTGAGTGAAATAAATTGAAATGGATTTTTGTGGTCACAGTTGGGCAACTCACAAATGGCACAGTCATCTCTAGTCTCTACTTTAAGCCACCCTGATGCCCCAAACACCATCCACAGTTAGACTATCAGGCAAGTACTTGCCAGTGTTTTGAGACCATCCAGCTCCAATCTGGACTTACAACCCAACACCCTAGCTCCTGGCTCTACATTGCCCCCTGAGGGGTCCTTCTTCATCAGTTCTTCCTACTTTAAATGTGCTATCCTTGGGTTATATAAATGTCTGACCTTGTCTCTTTGGAAACCCAGCTCATGTGTGGTTCAAGCAGTGTTCCTATCTCACATGATGGAAGAAAATGGACCACCGATCCCAGTCTCAGATATTTGAGTGATTTCTGATTAAAAATAATACTTTGATAAATCTCCTTATAGATTCATCTTTGCCCTTATGTCTGATTATTCCATTAAAATAAGATTCTAGAAGCAGAAATTGTTCAAGCCCTTAAGGTGCCTGAAAAGTATATCTGGTTGGGAAACTGGGGACGTAGAAGTCCAGCAGACTCAGAAGATTAGAATTAAAAGGTCAAGGACTTCCTTGTATATCACATTCAATTTTTCTACATGTACCTGGTTTAATAATATGGAGCCCAAGACCCTTTTCCTATAGGGGGCAATGAAGAATGGTCTTAGAGTCAGAATACAAAGCAGAAAGAATTGCTTTAAAGCTAAGTAACGAGGACAGGACAAAGTGGAGTATCACAAGGAAGGACTGATTAGTTGCCTAACCTTGGGTAACTTGCTTAACCCCTCTGAGACTCAATTTCCTTACCCATAAAGTAGGAGTTACATTAATGCCTGTTGTACACATTCAATTCATCTTGAATAAACATGTATTGACCATCTACTATGTGCCAGGCAGATCATGAAAATGGCCAAAGGGACACATATAAAATTCCTTTGCTTACTTTTCTATTTGTCATATAAGTTAAATTTGTTTTTTAAATTTATAGTTTAATGTACTCAAGGCCAACTGCCAATGAGCCAAAAAAAATTTCAGAGATGCTAGATGAGATTTCTAGGACAAAACGCTAAGAACAAGTTTTATAGAATTCCTCATGTCACCTGAAGGACAACTCTAAGGCGAAGTCTGAGATTGGTCAAATTCACCTTGATGCCCTTGTACCTTTTTTTTTCTAAAGTACTTTTCCCCATTCTTTTTGCTTCCCCCACCCCAGCCTTCTGGACCTTTCATCATGAGCCCAGGGGTCTTTATGGTGCCCCAACCTGGCTTGCCTTCCTTAAGCAGTTCCAAAGAAATTCTTTTTACTCTGTCCTGTGTCCCACTCTCTTAGGGTCCTGATTATTCAGTTGGATAAGTTCTGATGATACTCACTATGGTATTAATGACTGATAAATGTCTACTTTTCGCTGGACATTTGCATTTCAAATAGAGGTTCCTGGAGAGTCCCTGCTTTGAGGGAAATAGCAGGTTGAATGGTGATCATGCTAGGCAGAAAGTTTCTCCTGCACAAACCACAACATACTAGTAGCTGCCAAATTTGTCTATGCATAAAGCGGCATAAAGCAGCTAGCTCTGGTTCCCTTGGGATGTCACTAAGGGGCAGGGTAAAGAGAGAGCAGAATGCAGAGTTTGACACGTCACCTCCCTGGAAAATGCACACTGATCTCACTTGTCAAGGGAAGATGCCCCAACCTGTCCAGTCCCCTGCTCTGTGCAGACCTGGCTTGGACCTAGGAAGAAAGTTGCCAGAGGCTGAATTTTCTCCCTTTAGTTCTTGAATTCAACCCTCCTTCCCACAAGCCATCATTGTGCCATCAGGGGTTTCTTGTTACAATTTAATTTTTCTCAGTTGCACACTGGGATTCTAATCTGCATCACACCAGCAGTGGGAACGTTTCTAAGAATCATTTCCCAAGACACTTTTAATATATTTCCAGTAAATTGTACCTCAACCTGTCCAGCTGGCTGGGTCATTTAACGGTGACACACCCACTGAGTCCTGAGGGCCCCTGGAGATTTACCTTGGTGTTTTCCTAACAAAAAAAAAAGCTGCCTTCAGTGAGGGGATAAAGCTTTGCTAACATGCAAGTGCTACGGGGAACACAATGAGAACTGCCCGTCAGAGAGGGCCAGACTGCTAAGGCTCGTTATGGGAAAGACTACACACAGGATTATACAAAAGGGGTTTTGAAGAACTGCAGTGAAATTAAACCAGCTTTGGGGGAAGTGGCATTCAAATAAGAAAAAAAAAATACATATATATATATATATATATATATATATATATATATCCGGGTGATTATTTAAAGCCCCAAAACAGATGGTATAGTTTATCAAGTATTGTTAGCCAAATTCAGTGCTGCTTTCAGGGACTTAAAAGCATACAGCCAAACGTAAACAAAGTTTTCACAGGACAAGAGCCAGTGAGCAATCTCCTTCAAATCTGCAAAGTCAGAAGGAAAACGTAATTAATCACAACTCACTCCTAGCTGGCTAGTCGAAATGATACCAATGAGAAAAAGTGAACAGTTAATAGGGAAATTTGGAGTAGGGGAGGGAGAGGGATGGTTCCCTCCTTTTCTTTCAAGAGCTGGCATTTGTATTTGTGTTTGTGTCGTTTGGGTCCAAGCCCAAGAAATAAATGAGGTTTTCTGTTTTTGTGAGTTTTGGTTTTCATGTTTCATAATCCAGTTTATTTGACCTTTATTTTTCTGATAATGAAGGGAAAGAGAGAATGTGGTTGAGACAAATTCCTCAAAAGTACAGGCGGCGAGACCAAAGGCCTGGGAGGCCAGGAGCCAGGGCAGCCAAACGCACCCACAGGATGGTCCGGCAGCCTCCAATTTCACTCTCCAAGAAGTTTTTCTTTTCTTTTAAATTTTTTTTCTTTTGTAAAACAATGTCTTCCCTCCAGAAATGTAAGGGAAAAATAAATTAAGGAATGGGTGATCCGTTCTCATTTCCTATTGGGAAAGATGCTGGCTTGGTCTAGTTTCCTTGTGTCTCTTTGGAAAGACAGAGAATTCTGTCTAGTTCCACAAGTAATAGAAAAGTCCCTTCCGAGGGACGCGGCCTGCTCCTTTCCCTTGCAAACTCATCATCAGCACATCACCCAAAGCTTTGATGTCCCCACACAGCAGGCCTCCTCATGGCAGTGGGCACCCTTTCAAGAGCGGCCCCAGGGGTCCCTGTTTGCTGACCAACTGAGGAGGGGGAGGTGGGGAATGACACGCAGCAACACCCTCACCAGCAGCTGCCACTCCCACCCCATCCAACTCATAAAAGTTCTGAAATGTTGGCATCTTTGCTGCCGCTTTTCATCAATGCCATTTAAGTGAATTTAGAATAATAATTGTATTAAAATGTTTTAGATGCCATATCTCCAATCCATAAAATTTATTGTACCTTTATGCAGAATTATACTGGAGTTGAAACACATAAATCAATTTATAAGGTCTAATGACACACAAACGCTTAAAAACTAAAGGCGATGTAGTAAATTCAAATTACCATTACAAATGTAAGCTTTGTAGTCAGTGTGTGACCCGCTAAGGATTATATTTAACTCCCCTGAGAGTGGTTTATCATAAAACTTTATACTTTTATTACAGTGAATTATTAAGTCCTCCATGACATGAGTCATTCCTCGCACTGACTATGGCTTTTTTAATGACACTGTAATAGACATCTTGCTAATAGCAGGAGGGTTGCTACCTGTGCAGCAAGGAGAAGGGGTGGGAGGAGGAGGGAAAAGACAGTACAGGACTCATGCTGGAAGAGTAGATTTCCCAAGGGACTCACATTAGCAATCATACAAAGAAGTGTCGGAAGCCTAAACACACATACCCCTCCATGTTCTGTCCTGGGTAAAACAATCACATACTGCCTAAAAGAAATTCAATTTAAAAGTCACATATGGAGAAAGCAAAACAATCTCAATTTTCCCAAGCATTTTAAATTCCATCAAGACTTGAAATTCCTCTCCCTGCTGCTATGCCATAGATAGGCTTCCTTTCATTCCAATAAGCTCTTCACTAATAACAGATCACCACCGTCATATAACGCACAGTGACCCAGTGCTCATAAACATGACTTCCCTGCGACACCCTTCTCCTCTTTACATTGTGCCCACACAAGGACTCCATAGCAGGGAACTCTTTCCAGAATCCATTTAAGCCCTCAGATCATCACATGTGTGAAGTCTCCAGCCAAATCAAGGAAGGGTTTTAGATCATTGTCCAGGTTTCAGAAGGCAGTCCTGGTGAGCTGATGTCACTGGGTATCATTTACTTCTTCCAAAAACTACCTAAGGCTCACAATGCTGGTGTCACACAACCATTCACACACAATGCCATTTCCACATCTAGGACATCTGAATTTAGGAATCCCAATCTCCTAACCTGGGAGAAGAGCAGTTCTTATAAAAGAAGCCTCTGTGTTCTAGCCAGGCTCAGTTGTGTGAACCTGTAGATCCAGCTACTTGTGAGGCTGTGGTGGGAGGATCCCTTGAGCCCAGGAGTTTGAACCTAGCTTGGGCAAAAGAGAAAGACCTGCCTCTAGGGAAAAAACAAAAAAGAGACATTTCTGTGTTGATGAACAGACATGGGTCAAAAATAAGACTGGTGCATTTGACCAAAGAGGAGAAGAGAAAATAGATGCCTAGACTAGTTTTCTACACATCTGTATGCAAGAGTGACTTATTTGTAGGAATTTCCCATGTATCCTATTATTTAAAAAAAAAAAAAAAAAACTACTATATGGTGATTGTCTCTGTGCTCTCATTCCCATGGGCATTTGGTCATCTCTAAGGCCATGACGCAATGACTGTGAATTCCCCTTCCTGTCCAGTGGCTTGCTAATTCCCATTGGGCTTTCGTTTGCTAACACATGCTTCTTATGACCACCAAGGTGAGACTTAAAACACCAACACTTATGGCTTCTGACTGGTTTATTCTGAACATTTCAGCACAGAGATTTTTGTGAGCATGGGGTTACCAAGGCATAGTTTTGACTTAATGGGCTGAATGATTCTGGCAACTGACAACAAATTTTTCATAAACCGACTGGTTGGTTGACTAATTACAGGAATCTTATTTGATGCAAATATTTTTATAGGCACAGACATATAAAATTTATAGAAAACCTCACCCCCCTCTCTCTCAGACACACACACATACACACATTCCTTAATATGAATACATTTTGAAAACTTTCATTAGAAAGTTAAACAAAATTAAACAAGCTTTTACATGAATTGCCCCAAACTTTTAAGCCATAAACAATTTTCACCCAAAATGCTATAAACTCCCAAGACTAGCCACTCTATCTCCTTCTCAGATACTATTCCATGAGAAACTCACTGAATTCAACTTAATTTAGTAAGTATTTTTGGAGTGTCTATTTCATGCCTGACCACTACACTGGGGACCCAGGGTTGGATTTTGTAAGCACAGGACCTTGCCTTCATAAAGGTAATAGTCTAGACTCTAGGGCAGAAGTCAGCAAACTACAGCCTACAGGCCAAATTCAGCCCACCACTTGTTTTGATAAAGTTTTATTGGAATACAGCCACATCCATCAATGGCTGCTTTGAACCACAATGGCAGAGCTGAATAATTATGACAGGGAAATATGGCCTGCAAAACCTGAAATATTTACTATCAGGCCCATTACAGATGATGTTTGCTGGCCCTTGGTCTTGAGCAATGGTTCTGAGTCCTAGCTGAAACTTAAAATCATCTGGGGAGATTTTCTAAAATACAATCAGAGCCCAGACTATCCTAAATCAATTAAGTCAGATCTTTGGGGTATAGAACCCTGAAATTTCTCTCTCAGGGGGAAAAAAATGGTTTACCCAGGTGATTCTGATACTGAGCCAGGATGGAGAAGCAAACTAGATTAAACAGACTTCATAGACATAATGGCAAAAGCAATCATGAGTGTTAAACAGGAAGTGAGCCACTTTCCAAGACAGCCACTGAATAACCCAGATGTTCTTAGCTTCTTCAGGAGGAGAGACAAATGTTCTCCACTGCTCCTAGATATTCTGCCTCAGTAGCATGAGTTGGCTCTAAGACACATGACTCCAGGGAGAACAGCCAAAATCAGAATGTTCTCTTGGAGAAGATAATCCAACATTTGTCTACCCATTTCTCCTCACCCTGGTAGCTAAGTACATCACACCCTGAGGGAGGTTTAATATTATTTCAGTAGCTAAAACAGGTAAAAAGCCCTCCTCTGCCTGTAGAGAGGACCTGTTCAAATCAACACACAAAATTATTCATCAACAGCACCTAATCTGAGGGGTCCTGAAGGACACCAGTGTCTATCAAAATATATGAAGTTGGGAATCTCTGATCATCTCTTGGATGGGAACCGGGACCACTCTGGAAGCCTTCATTTGGGCTTGATTTCACTTGGACACTGAGTATATTGTCCAGGTAGTGGTGGAAAAGGCCAAACAGCAACTTAAATATACTAGGGCTCCTGCAAACCAGCCTCATCTGGAAGAACTTCAGAGTTTCCACTGAACCTGGGAGGCTTTCAGAGACTTGGAGAGAACCTCACATTCAGGCAATCTATATGGCCTTAGTTTTAATAAACAACTATGTGTTGATTAATCACCAACTGTGGATCCACAACTGCCTAGGCACTGAGTAATGCAAAGTATTTATAGTCCCTACACACACTCATAACACACAAACACACACATTTCACACATGCACCCAAGAAATGCTTGCATAACAGCAAAAGCAACTACATGATTATGTACCACAGGGTGCAATTCAGAGGTACAATCTTTTTCCACCAAGAGGCTGGGGTTGTAGGCCTTCTGTGAAGGAGAGCAAACCTTGAAAACAGGACCATGGCCTGTTTGAAATGAAAAAATTCCACAACCACAGGGGAACAGCAAGGGGCTTCAGAATGACCTGATAGTACCTGTAAGGGAAGCAATACAGGAATTTATAAGCAACAACTTACAAATCAGATTTGTAATTTGTAAATCAGAACCTGGGGAAAGGAGAGACTTATGGACTAAGAAAAAAAATCCTCTAGGAGACAAGAGCACAGAGTTTCACACCAGACCAAAGAATTGAGAGGATCTTTCTTCTTTGACCTTCATCACCTTCTCAGATAAGGTCTTTGGGAGCTCAGAAGAAGAGTCTTGGGTGATCTGGAGACCACTCTAGAAAGGCTCTCTCATTTCATACTTTG